GATTAAAAAAGAACAAACAAAATAACCAAATTGGCCTTCATACCTTGACGAGAATGGGATATGAACTCATAAAAAAGAGCAATTAAATTTATTCAATCATTGCCCTTATTCTCTTCATTCATACCCCAATTAAGAGGTATGAACCGAGTATTTTAAGGATACATCGAAGGATAATCAACCTTTAAACATAGTAAACAATAAAGCAAACTCTTGAATGTGTAGAAAATCCCTTATGGCGGTGATTAATGAAAATAAAAAATAATCAGCCTCCCCTTATAGATTAAATGTGGCAAATTGATAGATTGAAACGCAATCGGTTTTTGTGTAGCCAGGGTCCGAGGTCCAAATCTCTCTCAAACGACCTAGAGCTTGGGAATTGCAGAATGGACACCAGAGAGTAGGTTTTCCCAGAAACCGGGTCACAGAAAATGCATATTAGACGCATAAGTAGGATCATAAAAGCGACGACGTTGGGCCGCAAGGGGTCGGGTGTTGATCAGCCTTATAACCCAAACTTCTCTGAGATCATACGCCAGCAAAGCAACAGAAAATCTATCAAACTAACTCCGAAAACTATGAGGAGACAAAGCTTATTCGATTATGCTAAAGACAAAACAGCGAGATATTTAGCGAGATGAAATAATGGCTTGCAGGTTGAAGAAGCTAAGCCCGAAATCCTTCATAGGCTGACGAATAAAAGTTGCAGAAGATTTAGAATTGAGGGGTCAAATAATGTATTCCACGTCAACACAACAAGATCTGGTCAACAAGCTGATTAACCCAGATTACGGAAGACAACAAAACTGTAATAAATTAGTAAAATAGGCCAATACGGTTTCACCAAAAATGAGTAAAACAAGAAAACAAGGCCGAAACGAAAACACTTTTACATGTCCTCTCTTCCACACCTGTTTCCTCCACCGCCAGCTCGTCTTCATCTTGGCTCAGACACATCTGCCCGAACAATTTGCATCCAATGCCCAGAGATCCGTTCTCCAAAAACAGCTGCTCTTCTTCGGAGCACTGACTCGACTGACCGGTTACCCCGTCTGCAGTTTCAATGGCGCCTGAAGCCCCAGTTGTAGCTACCGCAACTGCCGCTTCCTCATCAGCCAGGTCCAATTGTCGCTTCTGCGAGCAGATGCGCATAAGAGCGCACAGCAACACCAAAGGCACCACTGCAAGAACTGATAGACACACATAAACAAATACACATAAGACAAGGGTGTCAAATTCTATGGTGACGTTGCCATAACTACTGCGACCGGTGAAGTCTCTCCTGCAAGATACCAGAGAAGCAGTATAGGCAATTTACGGGGCCAATGGTGCTGAAGATTGTTGTTCTAAATAAACTGAAATATGAGCATGTATGAACTCGTTTTCGCACATTGGTCGTGTTGTCAGAGGGACCAAGTTTGATGCTCTTGTAGTTTTAATAATGTCAAGAGATGGATCGTAGAGTTGGTACATTCTTGAACATTTTACTGGCATTGTCAGTCAACCGAGCAATAGGCTACAACTCGTCAAAGAGACAACTTTCTGACAAACGGTTGTGCTATCACTCCTCTCTTGCCACATCCGTCTACGCCCTATCCTCTCACTCATCTATCAACTCCTTTAGAAGCTATCATATCGGCTTGTTTACATATCTCCATCTCCATCTCGATTTTTCGAATTGCTTATCATACACAGACCTCCTATCCAAATATCCTAGAGATTAGTGTTTTATCATACTGGCTGACTGGCGCTATTTCTCATGGTCTTTAGTAGCACGTATGCTGCGACATCATCAAGCAGATTGCATAGGTTCTGGATCACAGGCTTGCATCGTTTCTACGCCACTTAATCACACAAATGGGCAGTAGAAACAATTCGTATGAAAGTAGGGTTTCGAGATGTATTCACCCTATTTCGTGAAGGTGATGAAGGACTGGTAGTACAATTTTCCCACAATGATATAAGTTGAGCTGACGTTTCCATTCAATTTCACATAGCCTTGCTTTCCCAAAA